GACGGGGAGGACCACGGAGGGCTGGGCTGACGGGGAGGACCACGGAGAGGGATGAGGCCGGGGGTAGGCAGGGCTTCCTCACAGGAAGAGTGGGTCAGTCACAGCCGTGGTGAGTGAGGAATTTCTGGGCCTGAGGAGAGAAACGAAGGCTTCTGGAGAGGAAAGGTCTGGAGCACCCCACGCGGCAGGAGAGGGTCAGGTCGGCAGACCTGGGGTTGCTGGTTTTCTCCCGCGGAGCTCCCAGCAGGGGAAGGCAGAGGGTCGGAGGAGGGCTGTGACCATGTTCGTGGAGGCCGCTGGCCCAGCGGACGGGGCCAGGACAGGGAGGGAAGCCAGGAGACGACAGGGAGGCTGCGAGCAGGGACCAGGGATAGAACTCTCTGTGGGGTCAAAGAACAGGGTGTGTGTGGACCGGAGTAGACACGGTGGCTCAGGAAGTTGGGGTCGAAGATGGGATTTCTGAGTAAGACGCTGGAACAGCCACCTTTGTGACAATCCTGGGTGTGACGTGGCTGTTGGGGGGCAGGGGGAGACAGGCCTGGGAACCCTGCTGCAGTGGGCAGGGGGCAGGCCTGGGGCGGAAAACGGCGCCAAAGCCCTTGGTGAAGAGGGGGCGGCTGGAGGCCGGTACACGGGAGCAGAGCGCTGGGGAAGGCGCACCTGTGGCCCGAAGCTCAGAGCGGGAGGTGGGTGAGGTGAGGGCCGGGGCAGGGGTCTGCCAGTGGGTGGCAGGGAGTGAGGCGCTGCCAGGCTGCCCTCTGTCCTTGGTCTCCCTGGCTTTGAAGGAACCCTGGGCCCCAATGTCCCGCTCCAGTCTCTCGGGTGCGGGCCCAACGGCGCGTGTACTAGCAGCACTGGACGGGGCCGGGGCGCAGAGCCCGGGGCCAGGAAGCCTGCCTGCAGGCCAAGCCGCGCTGCGGGGGGGGGGGGGGGGGGGGGGGGGAGGGGGGGGGGGGGGGGGAGGCGGACGGCGTTCCACCGGTCCCTCTCTCCGGAGGCTGACGAAAAACACCAAGTGCAGATACGACCTTACTGTGCTGCTTTTAATTACGAAAGATGTAAAACGACGTATTATAAAACTTGGAAGCGACTTTATACAAATTCCAATCTTTAAATATTTTTTTAACAAGGGACCCGGGAGTTAGGACACTGGCGGGAAGTCTGATTAGTTGCCGTGACGGTGCCACCGCGGAGCGAAGGAACCACCTGTGCGTAACGGAGCCAAGGAGAGCGAGCCGGGGACATCGTCGGGTACGCGGGCTGGAATACGGGCTCGCGTACACAGGGCTTCAGCTCGGCTACTGTACAGTAGACTGAGGAGAGATGAAACACGACAGAGGAGAATTTATGGTGGTCTTGGCGTGATCAGAAAAATTTTCTCCTAACACTGTGTGTCCTAAAAACCACAACGGTACAGAAAAAAAAAAAAAAATGGAACACAGATAGGTTTTTAGTTCGATACTGTTTAACTGCTAGTAAATGACAGTGGTGCGGCCGTCGATTTCCTGTCACGAGACTAAAGAGCAGAAGATCATTTATTCTGATGCATGTAGCCGCTTCAGATGCCGAGGACCACGCCTGGTTTGTTGCAAAGGTAGCCGTGAAGGCAGACGTACCCGCTGGGGGTCAGAGTGACACCTGCCCACGGGTGTCCTTGACGCCATGGAAGCAAAGTGGGTTGGATAATGCCCAAAACCTTTTCACAGGAAAAGACTGGACCGGTGGACCTAAGGACAGATTTAATTCAGTGCTAAGCCTTATTGTCATCATTATAATCCCCCTGGACGAGTCACTGTTCCTAGGAGCCTCCATCTCCACGAGTCACCGGGAGACTGCCCCGGGGGCAGCGTACTTCATCACGTAAGGTCCCGGGCCCCCTGCTGTAAGCAGGACCGCTGTGCAGACAGAGCTGGACCCCCACCCCGGGTAAGGCACTGCGCAACAAGTGGGTTATGCTGAGACGGCCACTTAAAAAAAAAAAAACAAAAAAACACAAAACCAAACTCCTAACATCAGCACCATTCCCTGTGTGAAAGGCCAGGTCAGATTTGGGGGGGCCTCCGACCCAGGAAAGGCAGCATGGAGCTAGCTGACTTCCTTTGGCACACCGGGGAGCTGTGCACCACCACAAGGAACGGGCCTGTACTTGAACGAGTCACGCCCCTCCCGAGATCCTCGGGATAAAGGGATTTGAAAGTTTCACTGGGACCAGGGCTTGGAGCTCAGGCGAGGACCCCGGCTGGATTCAACGGCAGAGATTCGGGGCTACTGTGAGGCTGAGGCCTTGGGCCCCAGAGGAAGCTGCAGTGGTGTGCCAGCGGGGTTCTTTGGGAGACTGGAGGTAAAGTGATCCCTCTGCAGACGGGGATGGGACGACGTCTGGAGAGGTTAAGAGCCCAGAATCCCGTTCCAGACTCTTCTTGCTGTGGGGCGCCGTCGCGTCTGATTCAGACCTGCGCGGTAGAGCCTTGCTTCTTTGGGCAGGGGAGTCTAGGGACCTTCAGCCACACTCCTGGTGTCTTCTGGAAGGGCAGTGGCTGTCTGGGCAAAAGTTCCAGCATCTTTCATCTCTCCCTGAGCGCTCCCGTCCTCCCCGTGCCCACATCCTGCCCCACTGCCCAGACCCCTCCCCAGAGGTGCTCCTCGAACCCACCCAGCAGATGTCTGGTCAGGGGCCAAGTCAGAGAAGGCAAGCAGTGGTGGGAAGCCAATCATACCATTTTACGCTAAGGTACTAATAATGACTAATGATGGCTTCGCGAATTAGGCCTTCATTTTACTGTGGATGTTTTCTTCAACCTCAGAGAATGAATCTCTTTTAAAAGCAATTTAGAGCAAAACACAGATCTGAAAGGGAAGATCTTTTGAGGTGGGGGCCTGGCTGGGAGCCCCGAGGCCTCAGTGTGCCCAGCCATTCTGGATGCACTCAGAAGACAGTTTCCACCCGCCTGTTCTGGAGCGTGCCCTTGAGGAGACGGGGGCCCGGTCTCACCGTGGAGTTGGTCACCTAGTGTTAGAAGCGTATTAAAGTGCATGCCTAGCTTAACCACAGGCACAAGTGTTAGAAAAGCTAAAGCTCTGAGATTTGGCAAGGAATGGGGCTAGCTAAAGATTAGACTGCCTTGCAGCCAGGCAGATTCATTCATTCATTTCTCCGTTTGTTCATTCACGCCTTCAGGGCGCAGTAACACAGCACCTACCCAGTGCCCGCACTTGTTAGGTGCTTGGGGTTTGGTAGCGAATAAGGCACAGTCCCTGCGCTCAAGGAGCTTCCGGTCTAGCGGGGCTACATGAACACTCCTGCTGCACAGAGAAACAGCTCCCCCCGCCGCTGCTCGGCGGCCGGAGGGTCTGACCCGGACCCCAGCATCCCCGCAGCCGGCCTGTGGAGAGGGAGGCCTACGCTGGTCTGGAGCTCATCTGGAAGACATCGCGGGTCTGCGAGAAACCTACGGCCTTCCTCTCTTCCCCCCCCCCCCCCCCCCCCCCCCCCCACCCCCATCGAGAGGAAGCCCTTTTCTCTTCAGGCTCGTCCATCACCGGGGGACTGGTTGTTTTTTTTTTTTTCAGTGACTGAATAAAACGGTCCTCCTTTCCCCTCGTCCACAGGAAAAGGTGTACTGAAGCAGCAGAAAGGAGACTACACACTCGGGAGAAAACAAATGAGCGTTCAGTTTGCTTAACTCAAATCAGTTCTTGAAATCGTGGTAAAAATTCTTCATACTGGAATTAAGGCACCTGGGCGATCCTGGCACGTGTGGTCAGCGGCGGGCAGCTGCCGAGCCAGGCCGGCGGCAGCGGAGGACGCACCGTGGCGCTGTGGTACCGCTGCTCGAAGCTGAGCCAACTCCCGAAGGCCTGCAGCCCCTCCCTGCCCCGCAGGCCAGGCCCTCTCTTCAGTGTGGACTAAGATCAGTGGTTCTGAGCGCCTCACAACACTACCGCGGCCTGTTCCAGGGCTCTGCTCTACTTTTACACATCGACGGACTAGACGGCCAAGGAAAGGGTGTCCTGGTCCCGGTGACGAGGGAGTCATCGGGAGCTCCGAAAGCAGCCCGCTTGCCCGAGGGCCAGGGCACAGCTCCGCTGTCGGCAGTGAGCCATGGGGTGTGAGATGGGGCCTCGTCGGAGAGCTAGGAGCCACGGACTTGGCTCCTTCCGTGTCAGGAGCCCGAGATCACTCAAGCCCCGGGGGTGTAGCTGGCTCCGTGCCCTGCCATTCTAGCACCGCTGCTGCAGCAATAAACGCTCCTGGCCCATTCCATTCTGCTCACAGTCGGTCGGCTCGAAACGTCTCTTCCACAGAGGGGTCAAGCAGGCCCATGCTGGAGTCACTTAACATGTTGAGTCCGTCCAGGCTCAGGGGTTCAATCTGGAGCTCTTCTTCCAATGGAAATGGAGTGTCCATGTTCAGGCCGACCTCGGGCATGCCCGCCAGCGCACTGCTGAGGTCTTTGAACAGGCTGGTACTCGAGTCTTCTGGAAGGAGCAGCAAGAGGGGAAAACGGTGCAGGTTAGGAGGCATGTACAACAGACGACATCCCCGCAAACGCCGGCACTGTCATCTTCCAGCCAGGACAGCGACGGCCCGCGTCCCCCCCCCCCCCCGCAACTCCCGGCGTCCCGGCCAGGACAGGGATCGCCTGCCTTTTGAAAAGCTAAACTTGAGCTGGGGGACTTTCATTTCTTTGCTTTATATGATGTTTAAACTCTCTTACAATGGCATCTGTAAAAACGCAGCAAAATACAAACAGAGGAGTGGCCCACACTCACCTGTCAGGATGGCGTTGGGGAAACCCCCGCAGTTGGAATACAGGTTTGGTCTCAGATGAAATGAGTCCTGCGGTTCTCGGAGACCTTGCTGCACCAGAGGCACCTGGAAGCATCAGAGGTCACACTGTAAGGAACGATCTCTGCTTTCGAGGAGTGAAGGATGCAACATGCATGGAACTGTCTTGGGTCCCTTCTCTCCAGGATCCCGCACAGAATATTCCTCTCAGGCAGGCAGGTGCTGGGGTGGAGGAGGGCTCCCTGAGGCCCACAGTGTGGGTGACTCGTCCCCACTCACACACAGCCCGGCCCACTGAACCATCTGAAGAGACACCAACGGTCACGGTCTCTGCGGCCCCTCTGGTCCCACACACCCCTCCTTCCCAGCCACACCGAGGCCTTTGGAAACACCGTCTGTGGGAACCCTTCAAAGGCTCCTTCTATAACCAAGGAAGTGATATGACCAAGGGGCTCTTTTGCCCTTTGGTTTCTAGAAAAATGAGGCAGGGGGACCCTTTCCTTCTTACGCTCAGAGGGAGGAACCTCAGGCAGTCCCCTCTCCGTGAGACAGCCTCTGGGAGGACTGGTGAGAACTGGGGCCTATCTTAGGTGCCTTTCCAGAAATTAATACTCCAAACTCTTTTTTTAATCTTTCAAAAGTAGGCATTTCTACCATCTTTCAGGGAGATACTGACTCATCTAAACTCAACGGACTTCTTCAGAAAATGAGAGGCAGGGACTACTGGTTTATGCCATGAGTCTTCACCATGGCCCACTCAGGAAACCTCTGTCTTTATTTCTTTTACTGTTGTAATTATTATTAAGATCTGTAAAATGCTCAAACTCCTTCCTTCTCTCCTTAATCCGTCCTAGAGCCCAATCCATACTCAATGGACACTATAACATCTAGAGGTATTTTAAATGGTCCATGTTAGGGAGAACCTAAAAAGCCAAAGGAAGGGGTTGAATGAAAGTACCTGAGGGGGGACGTCCGGCCCCGGCTGGACCAAGCCCCCCTGGGAAGCCACACTGGGCCGGCCCCGGCAGCCAGGCCCGGGGGCCCGACCCCTCCTGCGTCTCAGTTTCCTCCGCAGGGCAGACCAGGGGGCTGCGGTGGTCCCTTCTGTCTGAGCCATTCCACAGTTCTAGAACTAGACTGTCATCAGAAATCTCCTACCACTTGTTCCAAGCGTTCCTCTGCAGAGCCCTGACACCAAATAAGGCAGCCAGCACCGGCACTCGGGGGCTAGGGGAGACTGCAGGCTCCCTTAGCGGCTGAGCACGTCTGAGATCCGGGCGATGGGGTACCTAGTCTACTTGGTGTGGTGGGTTCTACGCCCTGAGCAGCCTGAACAGTGCAAGTCCTGCCCCGAGGAAGAGGTCTGCCTGGGTGTTCGCTCACCTGTTGAGGGAAGGCTGGGCCTGGCCTCATGGACTGCTGGTCAAAGCTCACATCTGGGAAGAAGCTGGTCAAAGATGAACCCTTCAGGGAATAAGGAAGGGAACGTTTAGCTCGGAACTTGGGGCAAGTAAGTGCTCCCTTGTGACCGGGGTCCCCGCTAGGACCCACCTGGGCCGTGAGGAGCGGGAAGCCGGATGGAGGCAGGGATGAGGCGGCCTGGGGCTGCTGAGCAGGAGGCTCCTGGGCAGGGGGCTGCTGTAGGCGAGGCTGGGCGAGGTCCTGGGGGGCGGGGTAGGGGGGCGGTGGGGACACCTGAGCTTGAGCTTCTGTGGGCAGGAAGGAAAGTGGGCTTCGATCTGAGGACACCATCTGTAAAACAAAGCCACTAATCAGCTTCGACTGGCGTTTCTAAGTGGTAAGTCCTTTAAGATTGGGAGGTGTCAAAGTGAGGGAAAAGCCTGAGCCCTTCTTCCCCGGGGTACTCTGTGCGATGCTCCCCGAAGCCTACTTCTTACTTCTGCTCTTTCGAAGTGATCTTAAATCTCGCTTCCTCACCAGACATTTCCCATTCAATGACAATTTCTATTGTCTTAAAAAAAACAAAACAAAAACACCCGTCAATTTAGCCAGTGACCTCCGTGAAAATCATGTTTGTTTTTTTAAAGCCATAACGTCTGGCTTAAGATGGAAGACTGAAGAAAAAAAAAAAAAAAAAGAACTTAGTTAGCTCTACTGTCTCCCAAACCTCGATTAAAAACAACTAAAACAACATTAAACAACAGGAGATGTTAATGAACAACACTTTGAAAATAAGTAAGACTAAAATGATAATAAACAGCACAAGGACAGAGATCATGGGAAGGAAGAAAGTGGCAGCACGGTTTGGAAAATGAAAAGCAACGGCCAAGCCGTGGCTGGGTGAGTGGAGCTGGGAAAGACAAGAGGAGGCTGGGGGGTAACCCAAGAGGCAACCGGACTCCCGTCCCGGGGCGGTCAAGGGCGGGCTGAAGAGCCGGGAGGAGGTGCGGTGAGGCTTCACAGCCCTTGCCCGTGGCGAGCCTGGGGGCGGCAGGAGGGCGGAGCTGGGGGTCTGCGGGCAGGACACAGCGAGCCCCGCGGGTGAGGCGCTTCACCGGAAACGCAGCGTGCAACAGAGCTCACCACCGAATCCTGAGGCCTCCACCTTTCTTTCCCAACCTGACTCGCAGGAGGCTGGAGTCTAGGTATGCGCCAGTGTCCTCTGGGGATCTGACCAGCCCGAGAGACAACTCTGAAACTCGGGGCACCAGAGGCTCCCCAGGGAAATGGCCGAGCTGGATCAGTGTACAGTGAGGACCATGCTCAACAAGCCCACCCGTCTACGTGGTGTTTCTGTGTCCTGTTCTTAAAGATGAGCGGAGCACCGAAGATCACCAGACTGTGAGGAAAGCATCTGCATAGAAATCAGAGACCAAGGCAGACGTACAAAAAAAAGAAACTTGGAGAAGTCTGTGCAGGAAGAAGTCGTCATGAAAAGCAAAATTATCAGGTCCCTGGGTGGCTCAGTAGGTTAAGCTTTCAGCTCAGGTCGTGATCCCAGTGTCCTGGGATCGAGTCCTGCATCTGGCTCCCTGCTCAGTGGGGAGTCTGCTTCTCCCCCTCCCCGCCCCCCGCTCATGCTTTCTCTCTCTCACAAAAGTAAATAAGTAAATAAGTAAATAAATAATCTTTTTAAAAAAATCAAAATTATCATTATACTATTTAGTCCATAACAAATCCTTATCTGTTAAAAAATACATAATAAAATATTTGCAATGTGTATCTCTATATACATATATTTTCAAAGTAGGGATGTGGATGAAATAAGATTACAAAAATGATGATTGATAATTGTGGGCGCCTGGGTGGCTCAGTCGTTAAGCGTCTGCCTTTGGCTCAGGCCGTGATCCTGGAGTCCTGGGATCGAGTCCCGCATCGGGCTCCCTGCTCAGCGAGGAGTCTGCTTCTCCCTCTGCCCTTCACCCTGCTCATGCTCTCTCTCTCTCTCTCTCTCTCTCAAATAACTAAATAAAATCTTTAAAAAAATGATAATTGTTGAGGCTGGATGACAGGTATAGAACGATTCATTCCATCATATTCTCTACTTTTATGCAACTTGGAAAACTTGTTACAAAAAATAAAAAGAAACCGGAATGAAAATTACCCCTGAAAACCTCAGAGAGATGAAAAAATGATACTGCATCCACAGGATGAGTACAGTGCTATAAAAAGGAACACTCACTTGGAGGATAAAAGAGAATTCTTGGCAATTTAAAAGTATGAGAGCAGAAAGGAAAACTCGACATAACAGCAGGATGATAAAGGTGAGAAGCTCTCCCAGAAAGCAGGGTGAAAAAAGATGAGAGAAAAGAGAAGAATGGAAAACATAGGGTATGAGAGGAAATGTACAGGCAGGCCAACAGTCACAGAACACGAGTTCCAGAAAGAGAGCACAGAGAAATCAAAGGGAAGAAACCATCCAGGAAGTAATTAATGAAGATTTCCCAGAAATGAAGGATGACAGGAGTTTCCAGATTGAGGAAACCCACCAAACATCCAGACTCATGTGACCCTGAAGTTTTGGAACTCTGGGGAACAAAAAGAAGATCCTACAAGCCTCCAGAGGGGAAAAAGTACATTTTGTTCAAAGTATTAAAAATTGGAATGGCACTGGATTTCTTAGTAGCAACTCTAGAAACTAAAAGGCAAAGAATTAATACCTTCAAAATTTTAAGAGAAAATTATTTCAGATTTGAATTCTGTGTCTGGCCAATTATGAGTTAAATGATGGGTAGAAGGAAGACATAGTTGAGTCATGCCAGGCCACATGCACTCTTTGCTGGAAATCTACTGGAGGGCTTTTTTTCCCCCCCTTGTTTTGTTTTGTTTTGTTTTAAAGATTCTATTTATTTATTTGAGAGAGAGAGAGCACACGGGCAGACGGAGAGGGAGAAGCAGACTCCCCGCTGAGCACGGAGTCCAGTGCTACACGGGGGCTCGATCCCACGACCCTGGGATCATGACCTGAGCTGAAGCCAGATGCTTAACCAACTGAGCCACCCAGGTGCCCATGGAGGGCTTGTTTTTTTTTTTTTTTTTTTTAAGATTTTTTATTTATCTTTTGACAGAGAGAGACACAGCGAGAGAGGGAACACAAGCAGGGGGAGTGGCAGAGGGAGAAGCAGGCTTCCCGCCGAGCAGGGAGCCCGATGCGGGGCTCGACCCCAGGACCCTGGGGTCGTGACCTGAGCCCAAGGCAGACGCTTAACAGCTGAGCCACCCAGGTGTCCCCAGAGGGCTTGTTTTTAAACGTGTTGAGAGGAGACCTACCCAACTCCAAGAGGTGGCGATAGGACAAGCGATATACACATAGAAAACCAGACTCACAGAGTAAAACATCCATCAACTCCCAGGAGAAAAATATTTCTCATTTTGTTATTTCGTGGAATATTAAATGGTTCAACTCTGGCTATCGTAACTGGGAAAACACTAAACACTGACTATTGCTTTCATCAAAATTATAACAAAGCACAGTGTGAATGAGGAGGAAATGTGTGTGTAGGTGGGTGGGGTTTGGGGAGAGGTGAAAGAGAGCCGTAACCTAATCCTCCATGGTAGGATGTCATCAGGTAATACCTAACACCAAAAATCCAGAACAAAACAAGCATGAAATAACATGGATATACCAAAGAGATTAAAGTGGTGGAGAAGAGCCATCTCTAGGGAGTGAGAAATATGGTGCGTCGGGGAGGGGAAGACAATGTTGCTTCATAACAAGCCCTTTAGAACTATCTGACTTATTAAACTATGTGCCCGGATAACGCTGATTTTTTTTTTTTAAGTCTTAGTAATTAAGCAAACAAAAAAATGGAAACGTCTGGAAAAGGATGCTCTCTGTGCCTACAGCGCTCCTGAAAATGTAGCCAGAAAGCAAGAGTAGTATTTTTTACATCCTCTAAAATAACCTTACCAAAGAAAATTAAAGGCAATCCAATAACATAAAAAGAACCATTAAAAAAACAATTATGAAATACCCTCTCACCATCTCCCGAAAGGGATTACTCATGTTAAGAGTGACTAATAACTGGATCTGCTAACTCCTTCCGTTGTGTTCTGTCAACTCTTGCTTGCTAAATCATGACTCATTTATAGTGAGGCGGGGAGTAAATGATGTCACAATGTATCTAGGGAGGGACCAATAGGTTGAAAATATATTCATTGATGATTATGGTAAGAGCCACCCCAAGAGCGCAGAATAAAAACGAAGTCAGGAAGACAAAATAGGATGTTTTGACATCTGAATTTCTGTAACAGGCTTGTGACTTCAAAATGTGCCCCTTTCTTTCTTTTTAATTCTTGGTTTTATTTTACTTTTTAATCTCTATACCCAACATGGGGCTTGAACGCATGACCCCAAGATCAAGAGCCACACGCTCTACCCACTGAGCCAGCCAGGTGCCCCAAAATGTGCCTCTTTCTAAACAGACTTATTTAGGTCCTTTTACGGAGGACCCTGATCCTTATTATACCCCTATCCCTTCATGAGCTGCTTCTCAGATCTGTAGGCGCAGTTAGGGAAGAGGTCTAATCCAATACCAAAGCTTCAGGAAGGTATTAAATGTCTTCTTTGGCTTTCCCCTGTGGCTTAAAATACTCACAGACTCAGTTATTGATAATTTTCCACACCAATTTTAAAGCCGCAGCCTGGTCACCCCCAGCCACCTTAGATGCGTCTGGATCGTGTTCTCTACACCCTGCCTGGCCCCCAGCGCCAAGGTTTGTGAGTCAGTGACTGCAGATCGTGTTGTTTGTTTGCGCAACAGCGATCATCACCACAAACGTGCTGTGAGGACAAGAGTAGGGGCTTCCTGAGCTAGTCCCACTTGCTCCCTCCGGTCTCACGGGAGACCTCGGGGACTACACCAGCTGAGGGGGGCCCAATCCAGGCCCCACACGCCTCCCCCCGTTGGGCTGTGGGTTTGCTCTCACCTGCGCCGCAGGATAGGGGTTCAGAGGGCTGGTGGCCGAGAGCTGTCTGCTGAAACCCTGCTGCGCTTCAGGGCCGGGAGAGAGCGTGAGCGGGCTGACGGGAGGCTGCCTCCGCCGGGAGGGGCCGCTCAGGGCTGTGGTGGAGAGAGACGGGTTGCTGAGGGAGAAGAGCCGGAGGGAAGGGTGAAGAGCAGAGGCGCTGGGGGCGGACGTCTGCGGGTGGCTGTTCAGGGAGGAGGAGAGTGCGCTCTTATTGAGCGTGGCCTGGATGGAGGGGTTGCTCCGAGAACCCTGCAGACCTACAAGACAACAAGCGCACAAGTTACTTGCCATGACTGCAGGCCAAGTCTTTCCTTTTCCAAAGTCTAAAGAAGACCTAACTTCCTCCCATCCGTATCTGACAATGATTCTGTGTGAAGGGGCAGCTCCCGGGCGGCTCTCCTACTGCGCACGTATCAGAGGTACCCGCGGCGGGGAAGAGACGCGTGCACACTGAGGATGACCGTGAGTCTGACCCATGAGGACACGTGTACACAGCCGCTGGGTGGCAGGGCTAGGTGAACAGAGGCCAGGGCTCAGCCCCCACCCAGCGAAAAGACCCCAGGGCTGTACACACATTCTGTTTAGAGCCCCCGAATGCCTCTGTCCCAGGTACCCTGCCCGGACCCTCTGCTGCCTTCTGAGAGTTACGGCTCTGGGGCGCCGCCTCGGGGCACCCTGAAAATACCCTGAACGCCCCAGTCATAGGAAGGGACCCCCTCCCACGTCTCCTGCTTTCTCCCTGCTTTTCTGGCTCCTGAGAATTATTCATCACAGTCTATGCCAATTCACGGAAAATGAAGTTTCTGCTGGGGCTCTGTCTTCTTTGTGGGGAGGGGTTGTGAATTTTAGCGTGAGCTGGAGAGTTTGGGAAACTTTCCATGACACAGCCTGCTCCGTGAGGCCAGGGACCGTGTCCTGTGTCCTGCCGGAGCCTTGGCACGAGGCCTGGCACAGAGTGGCTTCGCTCTGTGACTTCATGATGCTTCTGTGTATCTCAGAAGGCAATGCCTGTGTTTCACAGTTCAGCCCGTCATCCTGGTACCAGCAGCCGGGGTGCGTACAACTGTGTGTTCTTTCATGTTCATAAAAAACTAGGTGTTCGATAAAAGTTACTACAATGGAGCAAGGACAAAATAAAGCATTTTTTGCTGGCAAATGATTTTTCTAAACACAGGAATGATGTGTCTGATAAAACCCTATGCAGCTGTCCCACAGTACAACTCTCCATGGATCCGGCCAGCTTGAGTCACAGTCAGAGCTAAACATGTGAGCTTCAGTTAAGAAGCAAAGCCATGGGGCGCCCGGGTGGCTCAGTCGTTAAGTGTCTGCCTTCGGCTCAGGTCATGGTCCCAGGGTCCTGGGATCGAGTCCCACATCGGGCTTCCTGCTCCGCGGGAAGCCTGCTTCTCCCTCTCCCACTCCCCCTGCTTGTGTCCCTTTCTTGCTGTGTCTCTCTCTGTCAAATAAATAAATAAAATCTTAAAAAAAAAAAAAAAGCAAGCAAGCAAGCCACTCATTCAGAAGGAAAGCTCAAAGATGTCTGTACAACTTTGTATACCATGCATTTTAAGGAATGCCTAGAAACTATAAAGCCTTGATACTAGTTCTGGACAAAATGATGCTTTTTTGAGGAAAATACACAGCGATAAACATAGGATTTTCAGCTGAAGCGAAGTGGCGAAGGCCACCCTGGAGAATGGTGGCTTCCCCAAGACCCCAGGGAGCTAAGTGTTGATGCTGTGTTACTTATGTGATCTCGGATGTCCCTGTTCATACAGAATTTACCAGGACACTTGGTAGTGCAGCAGGATAATAAAATGACCTAAGTGAGTAAGTAGAGGTTATCTCTAAAATCAATTCTTCAAACCTAAAATTATGTGGGACAATGGCAGTGCCACTGCAAGCTTTAGAGAACCTTCCAGATGACAGCTGTAAAGGGGACTTCTCTCCTGTGAGTGGTGGATTCTGATTTGTGTGGACAAGTCCTGTTGAACCCAGAGTGGAAACCAGCAGGCATGTCCCCCTCTGATGGACCATCACTGGCAACCCCTTCCCAAGGAAATGGTCTACACCACAGCTCTTTGAACTGGGACAGCCGGGGGCTGGACCGCAGCACTGGGAGTAAGAGATCAACGCCTGCCTCAGACATCTGCAAGAACGTCTGTCGAGACACAAGTAAACTCAGTCGTGTTTCAACATGGGGTCTGAGCTGCGGGCGCTCAAACTCGGTACAGTAACACCCAAGTCACATGGGCCGCAATTTCATACAGCCACATGCTGACTCTTAAGCCCTTCTGAAAATCTGAACCAGTGATTTTAAACTGTGGTAGATTTCTATTTAATATACGTATCTATGGAGTATAAAATGTTTTCATCACATCTAGTATAAATGTTCTAAAATTCAAAATATTCTCTTCTGAAATCCAATGGGAAAGCAGAGGGATCCAGAGAGAGAGCTGCAGTGATAAACCATCATCCCATGCTGGTAAGAGCCACTAACATTGTTCAGTGAACACAGAATGGAATGGACGCTTTCTTCTTGACTCTCGCATCTTCCTCTCCAAGTCCCAGGACGCCTGGGCTGGTGAAGACAATGAAGAAGGAGGTCTAGCAGAGCGTCCCAGAGCTCACGGAATCCAGCAGAAACAGACCACCAAAGTGAAATGTCAGCAGGGTCAAGGGCTCTAAGAATAGGTACATAGCTATCTCTAACTCAGAGGCCACCATTCTCATTCAGTGATTCACTGGGGACCACCTATGAGTAAGCCACCAGGGTGCGTACGTGGGCACGTTCTCACAGAGTGGGGGACACTTACCAGAAGAGCTTCTTATGCCCAGGTGAGTCATAGCAGCTGGCAGGTTGCCCACACTATTCCCCACACTCATACTACCAAAGACATGGTCACTGGTGTCCAGTGAGGTTGGCACGGGTGCAGAGTAGTGGAGGTTGGTTAGATCTGGCAATGACCCCCCGGTGTTCAGGGTCCCCAGAAAGGGTGAGAGGCCTATGTTTTGACCGTTGTGGGGAAAACCACTGAAAAAAAGAGAGAGAAGTGTTACTTTCTAAAGTGCATTTGGTTGCTGGGGAATAGAACAGACTTGTCAAAGAAAGGCCGTGGGTATCAAACATCCAAGTCCTTATGTAGGCTTGGACTCTCCCTCGTTCTGAGACCTTGCATCCTCGGCTTACCCTCTCTGAAGGGCAACTGCCTTACCTGTTAAATCAGACTAAGGACGTCAGCTGTGCCTACTTTGCAGAAATATCTTCCGAGACCAGATCAGACTATGGGTGTAAAGTTCTCTGAAAATTATAAAGCCCTACATACAACGTGAGGCACTGCTTTATATTTGTACGCTTCTTTTTGCTAGACTTTAAAAAGTATCTCTCCCCCCCACACACACACACAAAAGTCTCTCTGCATCAAGCAGATACTTCCAAGATATACCTGGTTACAGTTTTCGTCAATTTTAAAGTGAGAAAGAGATGTTAGCATTCACTTATCCGCTGTGTGCCAGGCACTGGCCTGAGTGCTGGCGGTACAAAGACCAAGGAGCCAGGCATGTGGGTTCACGGTCAGGCCCACCCCTGACATCTGCAGGCCTGGAGGAAGAGTGTGCACGGAGGCCCACATACCATCTGTTTAAACTTCTAAAAGTTATGAATCAAATGAACAAACCCTTAAATAAACTATGTTCTATGTTTCTGCCCTGACAAATTATACCTCCGTAAGAGCCTGGAAGGCCAGACTGAAATGAAGAATCCTCCGGCTCCTGGACGTTCTGCACGGGGACACAGGGGAGGTGGCCATGGTCCTCAGCCCGCCCACCGTCTCGTCCCACCTCAGCCTGCTCCTCACCACAGGGCCCCCGTGCAGCTATCCCAGCCTATAGGCCAAGCCCTGGCCACAGTCCACATCCCCCCGGCCCGGTGCCCCTCAGGCAGATGGTGTGGTCCCCAGTGGCCCCTTGGACTCCAGACTCCACGGGAGCAGGGTCTCTAAAGTGTGGGGCTCTGGGAGGAGCCGCCTAGCTCAGGTCTTAGGGCACTGCTCTTGGAGTTCATGGGCAAGTAGGAGAGACAGAGAGGTGGGAAAGCAAGCACTTGCAATGTGGAAGGAAGCATGCGGGGCCAGGGCCGATGGGGGTGGGATGACCATGAGGGACAAGAGATGCGGGAGTTGTCAGTGTCAGGCTGGGCTGGGAAAGTAACAGTTTACCAAGCACCTGAGAGGGGGGCTCACGCTTCAGGGAAGCAGCCGGGCGTGGCCAGGGCGTCGGGGCAGAGCCAGGAAGGGGTGGGGAGCAGGAGATGAGATTAGAAGGGGAGTGAAGTCAGCAAGGGTAAGATGATGTGCTGTTCTGAGAGTCCGGATCAGGGACTGGGGGAGGTAGGGAGCCCAGTGTAAGCTGGAGAATGACCCTTCAGAAATGCCACTGTGGACACGGCGTGGAGGACGGCGTAACGGAGCAGGGAGTGAGGCAGCGAGGGGCCAGGCCTGACCCAGGGAGAGAGCAGTGAGGGGAGGGTAACGGATTCCGCCGAGGATGCTGCCGTCCACACAGCACCTCCCAGGGACCAGCTGCGGGCATCAGGGCCTCAAGAGGCTCGGACAAGGCAGGGAGGCAGCCCCGTGGCACAAGTCTGTAATGCAAGGACAGAGCCTGGCGGCGTGAGGTGTGGAGGAGCTAACCAGCGGGCTGGGAGGCTCCCTGGGCTGAGTTCGAAGACCCAGAGGGTCTAGGTGGGAAAACCACTTCAGGCAGAGCTCATGGCACGGGCAAAGCAGGGAAGTGTGAAACCGCACAGCATGCTCGAGGAATTTAGATAGGACAGGAAATACGGCAGGAAGGTCAAGTTCAGGAGAGGCGGTGGTGAGGGGGCTGGTCCTGGGCAGGTAGGCAGAGAGCACACGAGGCTCGGACTGACAAGGAGCCGGGGGAAGGCTGGAAGCAGGAAAAGACACAACACTTCTGAGGACCATGTGGCTAACGGATGGGGGAGGTTAGGAAAGGCCCAGGGGGCAGAGCCTGGGGGCACAGAGGTGAGTGGGGGCTTCTGCTGCTCAGGAGTCCGAGGAGACACAGGAGAGCATGGGGATGGAGTCGAGAGACGCTGAAGGCACTACTGGAGAGGGCCTCCTGATCTTCCGGCATGGGGACACTGGCCTAGGGACACCGAGGTGTGTAGGCAGACTGGGGCCGCGGGCGGGTGCTATGGGGATAACGCATTCTGTCTTAGACACTGAGTTTCCACAGGACAGGAGGACGCGTAACAGGGATGTCTCTTGAGGACAGGTCCCTTGGAACAGTGTGGGTGGAGGCCAGGCCACAGTGGGGCGCGGAGTGGACAAGCAGTAAGGGAAGAAGACTCAAGAGCAAATACTCTTTCGAAAGTGTGGCTAAGAAATTCTGGAAACGAGCAGGAAGGAAGTAATTAAAAGGGAATGCAGGGCTACGGAAGGACTTTTTCTGTGCCAACTCCTCAATAAGTACATTTAAACGCCGAGAGAAAACCTAGTAGAGCAGGCGAGGCTGAACACCCGGGAGCGGGGGGTTGGGGGGGGAGAGGCCTCCGAAAGGCCAGTGCGGACAAGGGCCAGGGAGTGAGTCGGGCGGTCAGCCTTGGCCAGGAGGACACCTGTGTCTCCGAGACTAGGAAGACACACTGGCGAGGGGAATCCGGAGCAGGAGGGAAGCTGAGCCTGCCTCCCTGGTGGCCCCCCTTTTCCTGGTACAGGTAGGGGGGCTGGCAGAACTGTGCAGGCTTGGGGGGACATGGGGAAGAAGGGAAGGGGTCCAATCTGACGGAGGAGGAAGAAAGATTCTGGTGGTAGAAAAACCGAATGTGATACCCTGTCTTTCCAAGTGGCTGGATGTAGGAGATCGGTTATAGGGTTAAAGGTCAAGGACTAGAGAAATGACCTTGAGAAGCCAGAGCTGCTCAGCCTGACAGCGGACAGGCTCTCTGACTGATGGGTGGCAGACGGGAATGAAGGCAGGGGGAGGAAGCGGGGAAGGCAGGGTCCACCGGCACGGAGCAAGGATGGACAAAGTCCCTGGGGCCGGTGCGAACCAGGTCATCGGTGACATTCAAAACAGTTTTCTCTCCGGACGAGAGAAACACAAATCGTAACTTTCCAAATATACCTACAACCCGCCGGAGTCCTCCCTTGAATCTGATAGGAGATAGGTAGTGCTATATCCCGGGTTCAAAACCCTCTGATGACATCCGACTTACTTCACGTCCAGAGCAAGTGGCAAGGGCCTCCTTACTGTCCAGGCACCCCTGGCTCGCAGTCTCTACCCTTGCTGTCCCCCTGCCTGGAGCCCCTGCCCCCTTCACTTCCTCCCAGGTTCTGGGCACACAGCATCTTATCAAGAGAGGGCTTGCCTCTGTTACCGTGCTTTCTTTCTCTTCATGGTGCTTACCAACACATGACATGTTTGCCTAACTGCTGCTGCCTATCTCTCTCCGCTAGAGCATCAGCTCCTGGGAAGCAGGGATCTGACCTGCTTTGTTTACGGCTCTACCCCAGCACCTGGAATTAGGGGTCAAGAAGTACCTGAACGAATACGAGTCACTGAATGGAACTCTCCCTCTAACCTAAGAGCAAGAAAACAACACTCGGTATCTGAGAAACACCTGCTTTAAAGCTCTGGTCGGGCAGGACGGGTGGCCAAATATTGTGGCCCCGTTCCGGAACGCAGGCCTTCAGAGCACTGATCACTCAACTGTCAGGGTTCTCGAGGAGAATCTTAGCCCTCTCTGTGGGGACGCCCCGCACCCCGAGGTGTGCGGTCTTCTGTCCAGCTAAGCGTCCCGGCGGGCCTTTGGACTTTTTGAAGAGAAGGTCAATCCTCAGCTCAGCTCAGTGGACTCTTCATCGCAGGAGTTTATGTTTAGCCAAAAAAAGAAAAGTAGGGAACGCCCTGAATGAACCGCTGTCAAAGACTCATGGAACGCTTTGCTGGGCAAATAATATTTAAGGACGGCCTGAAGGAGATTTATTGCATCCACAGACTTCTGAAGTGTGTGCTCGTCCTCAGAGAGATCGTGCAAGGGTCCCATTTTCAAACCACATTATTCTGGCCCCGGAAGGAGTTGCTGCTTCGGAGCTGGTTTCAGTTCAAGAGGTGGCAGAGCCCTGAGCACACCGTGGTAACCGGCCTCGGGCACACAGTTCCCTCGGGTCCCCAGGGGTCCGTCCTGTCCAAAGAAAGTTCTTCCAGGCAGCCATGGCCCAGGAGCAGCAGCTCCTCCCCGGCGAGCACTGCTGTGCACCCCAAAACCCATGCCCCGGGGCAGACGTGGGTGCTGCATTAGCTCTCAGCTCCCCCCACCCGTCCTTCGTCCTAATCTCCTCACACGCTTCCTCATCCATGTGGCTACCATGCCTATCTTTGCAAGCTGTCTGCAACTGCAATCTTCCAGGGAGTAGAGCTGAACGCTACGAAATACGCTGAGTAGTGGCTTCGTAAGCACTTTCTATACTTGCAAACTTTCCTTTACTCACCTTCCGTTGATTTTTAAGAACGGCGGTAAAATACACCTGATGGGAAGTTTATCACGTGTCCGTGAACGGTTTTGGTGGCATGCAGCATGTTCACAGACACGCTGTCAATCGGCCACGGGCGCGAGGCTGGCGGCTTCTCTGGGCGCCCCTGCTTCCAGGGCCCGGCTGTGTGTTCACCGATGCCCGGCCATGCTATGCTCTAGTGTATTTATGGCCATTTTACTTGCTGGCGCCCTTATGTAACTTAATTACTTTAAACAAATGAAAAATGAGTACCAAAGGGAGCTGTTGTTTTGTGAACGTCTGGATGACTTCCAAGTTACACATAACAAGTGAAGTTTCTCAGAGTTTTGGGACAAAGTCATAAGACTTTCCTTCAGGAAAACCTTTGGGAAAGTCTCTGAGCCTCGAACAGGAAGAACATTACTTACTTGCCGCCTCCAACATCACAGGATCGAGGGCGCCCTGACAGGGACTGAATCTGGGGAGAGACACAGAAACCCGGCCTTACTCACTGCAAAGTCAAATTCAAGTTTTTTAAAAGTATCTTTGTGTCTTGCGGCTCCAGTCGGCGCAAGCGAGAGCATCTGCACACAACAGCTACTTCAATTCGGACTAGACTTTTCCTGGCACAAGGGAGGCATGACCTTCGTGAGTTTTCTTAATTTTTGCCTTGTTAATTTATCTTCTAGGTGAACATTATTTCCCTCAAAAAGGCCAATGTTTTATAGAGAGAGTTTCTAAATAAGCATTACTTTTCCAATTGGCCTCAGAGGAAAAGAAGAAAACAGAAAAACAAAACAGGGTGAAGAAGAAGGAAATTAATGTCAGAAGGAAACACGTATTTCAACTAGAACATAAGCTTCAGCAGGGCAGGGTTTTTTATGTTGTTCATTGTACTATCCCTGCAGCTAGAGCACCTGGTGCCGGGGACCCGATAAATAGATGCTGGGGAAAATGAATGTACCACTGACTCAACTCTTCTCCCAGAAACGATTTATGGAGTGCTGCAAATCCCTAAGAAGTAGGGTGAACACCTCCTTCCGGAGAGAGCAGTCCCTGGCACCTGGGAAAGAGTGGGTGCCGCTGCCCTTCCCGCTGGAGAAGATAGGGCCGTCCTCCAATAAAAGCCTCCAAAACCACCTGTGCCTCCCACGGCCACAAGGACAGTGTGGCTGTTTCTCCTCTGTTTGGTATGTTAATTTCTTTTAAGTTTATTTAAGTCATCTCTACACCCGACGTGGGGCTCAAACTCGTGACCCCGAGATCAAGAGTCTCGAGTACTCTTCCGACTGAGCCAGCCAGACGCCCCGAAGTACGTGCATTTAAAATTATATCTCCCCCTCCCCTCCCAAAAAGACAAAAAACATCATATACATCTTGCTTTTACCAAAAAAAAAAAAAAAAAAAAAAAAAAGGTCCTTTCAAGCCCATCCTTAAGGCTAATGATGACTTTGATAGATCTGGCAGAAGAAACTGGAATCTGACCATGAGGCAGCACAAACAGTTGCAACAGAGCATCACTAACGCTGGAACAGATGACCTGTTTTCTTTCAAAGGAAACACAGCTTCCCTATGGGAAGAAAGGCCAAGTCAAGTACCATGGGGCCATGCTCCTTCCACAGTGGGTGAGGTTCACAGACAGCTGTGGTGGTGGTCAGCTGTACATGCAAATACTCAAGAGCCTCAGAGAAATCATAGAACAGATGATTGACTTACTGACTCCCTGAGGACTCAGGTCAAATACCCTTCATCAAAGAAACGGATATCTGGTAAACCAGCAATTCCGCACAGAAGCTGGTGACGGGGAGAAGGTTTGGCTCTAAAACAGAAAAATCTGCCTATGACTGGTCACAGGCCTCAGAGCTTTTAAGAACATGAATGAGGAGTCAAGGACGGATAGGTTCTTCTGCATGAGTAAATTCACACGAAAATTGTAAGTCAAGAGATCACTGTACTAATTCATCAAAAAAATTGTGGTCAGTTTCATTTAAACCATCATTCCCTAATATATTCTTTCATCTCTGTCCCCTGACATCCTCACTTCCTTTTTTCTCAATTCTTCTTATTTCTCCCACTGCAAGATTTTACAATGATCTCACAAGTGTAAATATTCAAATAACAAACACAGACTGCTCCCCTACCTCCTTGGTCTCCCACAGTTGTTTTGGCAGTGGCTTGGGAACGTTTAACAGATTCTCTTCTTTCAGCGGGCCCGGGAAAGATAGCACTAAAGGGGGGGGGAGAAAACGCATATTCACTGCATTTAGAAGGCAGCCATCCCACCCTTGGCCAAATTATCTTTGCAAAAAAAATGACTGATATGATACATATGCATTGACCGTGTACTAGAGAAGGGGCTGTGAGCATGTCTGTGGGGACCCCATAGAGGAGTGACACATGGATGCAGCCCAGGACTGCAAGGGGCAGCGAGAACCCAAGGGTGCAGGGCTGCTGTGGTGTAGACAGGGAAGAGTCGGTGCGGGCCTCTGCAGCTGGGCGGGGGCGAAGGCCTTTGGAGGCCCAGGAAGAGGGCATTCCTGAGATGGAGAGAGAAGAAAAAAAGGCCTAGAAGCGAGGAAACGGTGGGCAACTATGGAGTCGAGCCGCTCTTCTCAGTGGAGCTTGGCCCAAGTAAAGGACAGGCAGGAGATCAGGTTTAGAAGGTTGAGGCCAGATCGGCGGGCCCCGCAAGCTTGGCAAGGAGAGCATGGAAGCCGATGGGATGGGGAGGGACCACAGTGGCCCAGGAGGGACGAAATGAGGACAGTCAAGAGAAGAGGAACACCACAGGGGAGACAGGGCGGCCGTGAGGCTGCTTGGTGATGGGCTGGGAGCGGGGCGTGGACAGGAACGGAGAACCCAGAGGGCTTAAGGCAGAGGCGCAGGATGGCCAGCTCTGCGCCGAGGGACCATTCCAGGGTTTTCTGCGTTATCGTTCTCAGTCTGGCCAGGAGAAACGGGGATCATGCCATCTGATCTCAGGAAGAGGGTGCATCACGAGAGACACTGGTGACTGCTTGAAACTACAGATGCTGTTAGGTCTTGGTGATGGTCACGGCTGCCCCGTCTTAGCCCCACACAGGGCAGTCCGTGCACCCAAGGATAACAGACCCCGGAAAGAAGTCACTTGAAACAGAGACCAAAGTTGCAGAGCAAATTCTGAGATGCAATGCTCTTTACTCGGTGCCAGGAAGACGGCTGTCATGTCTGCCCGGATATTCTGGGGTGCCCCCACGCTCCCAGGTGTCTCTCTTAATCCTGGTATTCAAGCTCTCTTCTGAAGAGCTTATTTGGCCAAGTCAAATTTGAGGTTATAAAGATTCAAAGAAAGAAAACAGTGCCTGGTGCCGAATGAATAAAAGAACTGTGCCACTCATTTGTCACTGGCTCTCAGTGTCATCTCGGTAGATCTCCAACATCAACTGGCTTTATGAAACTCAGTTATCTCCTACAATTTCTGCAATTTCGTTTTGCAATCAATTTGCCTTTCTCTGGCATTGTTTACTTACGTTTGTCAATCACTGACTTGCAAAACTTTCTAAAGTAGGAAGAGACAGACAGCTGAGAAGGAAAGGGTCTTGGGATAACTAAGGGTCTGAGCGACCGATTCATTCATATTTTCATGTGGTTACAACTTTAGCTTCCCTGCACAACCGTGTGACCACAGGACTGTGGGCACTCGGATGACAGGGAGTCTTTGCGATCCAAGTACACGGCTCCTCTCCTGTGCCCTTGATTGTGGCTAGCCTGGATTTTATACAGCCTCTTAGAAAAGTGAACCGATCAGCTGCCATCGGCACTTGGGGAAGTCCTGAAAACAGGAGTTTCGGGAGCATGAAGGGAGGCTAGAGACACTGCGGTCAGCATCTCACTCAGCGCCGGTAGGTGAAAGCAGTTCATACCTTCCCCATGTACATCGTTCTCACCATCACAGAAACCTGGTGGGAAAGAAAAAAAAAAAAACTTTTATGTGGTGCTTTCAATTTTATCTAAGAATTAGTGACTCTTTCTGATTTGAAATAGAATTGTGAAAATTCCAAGGCAATTTTGGTACACTGATGCTCATTCAAGGTCCATTAGTGTTTCTACTAAAATTAAAATAGGTATGGCCTATTTGAGTCTAAAGTTGGCTCCTTTCTACTTTTCCTTTAAAATGATCTCAGTCTTAATTTTTTTTAACTGCCTCTGTCCTGAAAGAACAATATACGCAGTCTGAGAACCTCTATTCAAATCACAAAATAAAAAAATACAGATTGAAACTCTTGTAAGTTGTGGTGGTGGGGGAGGGCAGGTAACTCCAAAAGTCTACCATGCATGTCTAGAGGGACAGACTACAAGTCCCATATTGTATGTTGTTATATATATCTTGCTTGCAAATAATCAAATTATTTTCTAAAAGAAGTTTATCTGCAGTCTCTGTCAATTCAAATAGCGGGTATGAGAGCTATTCACAAAGTTGTAAACATTTGACTTGGAATAAATTCTGGCTGAATCAAATATATTTAATCCATAAAACATACCCCAGATTACAAAGTATAGTATTTTCCATTGCTCTAAGCTAAAACCCATGAATTATGCCAAGAATGTGATGTGTGACCATCCACCTTGGAGACAATCAAATGCACTAAATGAGTTTTCAGTATAAAATCAGGCCAAAGTTTTAAGTTCTGGGCCTTTAAATATACTTAAGTGCTTGCTTAAAGTTTAGATAAAGTTTCTGGAGATGCTCAGTCTATCGGTTAACCTGATGAGCCTCTACAGCTTCCACACAAGGTCTAATGATCATTCATTCAACATGCATTCGTCAAGTTCCTGCACTGAGGGAGTGCTAGGCGTGGCCAGGTGGTAGAGCGCGGGTGAAAAGTTGGAACGCGGAAGCAAATTCTCTAAAACAGGTAGAAGACAGACGATTTCGGTGGAGCCCAGGGGCAGGGGCAACACTGAAAATCCCCAGGAGCACCAGCAGGTTGATATATTAAGCATACTCATAAAGACAGAACTTCTCTCAGCCCATGGAAGCAGAACCTAAGTTAGTAATTGAAGACTTTATTTTAGTGCACGGAAAGACTTGGGTAAGCCTGTTAAAATGCAGCTTCGTGGGCCCAAGCCTCAAAGACTGATTCAGAGGGTGTGAGAATGGGCCCCGGAATCTGTTTTTAACCATCACCTCTGAGGACTGTCCGCAGACCGTCCTTGGCCTGCTTACTGAGGGACCTGGACAAGGCCAGAGCTTAATCCCGATTTGACACATCCGAAGAAAGCAAGGTGAGGGCTGCCCAGCTGGCTCAGCGGGAAGACCATACAACTTTTGACCTTGGGGTCGTGAGTTCGAGCACCACACTGGATAGAGAGATTACTTTAAAATCTTAAGGGGCGCCTGGGTGGCTCAGTCGGTTAAGCATTCCACTCTTGATCTCAGTTCGGGTCTTGATCTCAGAGTCATGAGTTCAAGCCCCATGCTGGGCTCCACACCCAGCATGGAGCCCACTCAATAAAAATAAATAAAATAAAATTTTCAAACAAACAAAAAACAAAGAAAGCAAGGTGAGCAGAACATCAGAAAATGAGGTGCCGAGAGACAAAAGGTGAAGCTCTACAGTCAGCACTGTCAGGAGGAGGGGAGAGAAACTTCTGATTCATCTCTTGTCTTCCTTGGAGCCCTCATCTTGGGAAGGGGCTGGGAACTTGACCATTCTGACCACGAAACAGTGATTATCCCGTTACAAATAATAAACAGCAACGTGGTATGGTATGTTGCAACATCTGTTCATTATCAAGACCCCAACACCCTCGGCTCCCTCAGTCAGGCCGACCTGGCCCTGAAACACGGGGGCCCAGCTGAGGGCTACCTGACGGAACTGAGTGGCAAGCAGAAACCCCGCCTGCTCTCCCGTTAGTGCCACCGCTCTCCCTCAGACGGGCACAGGAGGAAGCCTTCATGGAGGAAGTGGTACGTGAATTAGGCCCTGAAGGATAATGACGAGGATGGCAATAGTTAAGAGCCAGCATTACGGTTCACGTCCTACGGGCCAGGCTTCACAGCACTGTGAGGCAGTCCGCGTTGTCCTCAGAGCAGCCCCGAGACCGCACCATGCGTGGTCGGGCCTGTGTGCCTCCAGAATGTCCGACGGCTGGAGGGATGCGGACACTGGGCAGTGAGGCGGAAGGGGACGCCCCAGTGCAGAGACGGGAGGAGGAGGAGAGGGAAGGGGAGGCCGAGTGTGTCTGGCAGGAGCAGGAACGGTGTCGGGCTGGAGCATGAGACGAGAGGCACGGCAGAGGGGGCTGCACTGAAGCAGGCTGCCGGTAGCTCGGCAGGACGCAGGAAACAGGACTGACAGGATTACAGCTGAGCTCTGGAGAGAGTGTTCTAGCGGCGGGGGGCGGGACAGATGGAAGGGGAAGGCCCCCAAGGCAGGGAGACGATGTGGGAAACCGGGAGGCTAGTCCAGGCAAGAAGGAAGGAGGGGCCGGGCATGAGGACAGGAAAGAGGCCCTCGGAGGCTCGCTGCGGGGCAGGAGCGCCGGGGCTTGGCTGCTGACGGTGTGAGGGCTGCGGGAATGAGGGTGATCACAGACACCCGGCTCCCGGGTTTAGCGCCCCGGTAAGCAGAGCAAGGGTGGTGGCGCTAACTGCTGTGTGGGCGCCAAGCTAACGCAGAACCGGCGTAGCCACGCCTGGACTTTTATTACGGGGTCACAAAATACTGTAGGATACAACTAGAAATAAAGCGTTAAAACTAAAAAGGGAACGCTTTGTGACTGGACATCTGGAAACAGAGGAAACTCACTCACATCCGTCCCACAGGGCTAAGGGGTGGCCGCGGCCAGGGCTGCATCTGGGTTCCGAGCACCCTGGAGGCCTCCGAGCCGCTGATCGCTGACCTCCCGAGTGCAACACAGACCATGTACCCTCTACCCGCTCCCCTGCCTGACAGATCTAGACTCTTCGCACCGGCTGGATTTGCAGAGCAGGGTCCCTTCACAACAAGCGTCTGGGGCTTCAGCCTCCCCACTTGGGCACTCTTGCCAGCTGGGTGATGCTTTCGGCCCCTCTTCAGATCTGGGATGCCTGTGCCCTCCCCTCTCTGTCCTCTCTGTGCAATCAGGGGTCATTAACAGGCTCACTTCCTTTGGGGTTGTTTGCATTTTAGACCTTCTCCTCAACCATGCGGGTCATAGCGTTTGCCTGCTGACAGGTCACGGAGGTCCAAGACCTGCCTCTTCCCCAGGGGAGGAGCTTGGGGCTATGGTTCCCAAAGCTGGTACAACTCATTATCTATCTACAGCTGTGGGTGCAGAGAAGACAATTCTCCCACACTCTTCGGTCCTGAGCTCTAGACTGTTCCCGGAAAGGACAGGGACCACCCCAGCCCCCACCTCCATGACCACATGGGAACGGAGGGCTGTTAGGGGACAGCTCTGGGCTATGGGACACAGCCAGGGCCACAGGGAGCCCTTACGCTTGCCCGGCAGTGTGCATGTGAAATGGCAAACTACACCTGTCGCCAGGGAAATCTGGTCATCGCTTCTCTTCATAGATTCTGGATAATGAAATGAGAAGAAACTAAAAACCTTGTCTGGTTGTATAAGCTTATTCCTGTCATTTACATCGACCACTTACCACTGACACCTAATTGTCATGCAACTCAATAACCATTGTGAAAATTACGAAGCATGAACAGACTAATGGCTTTATTCTCTGAGGACACAAACTCCTGCTCGTGGACGTACCAGTTTATTACTCATGTGGTTAAGTAAGAGCAGATGCTCTCTTATCATCAGCTTGCAAACAAACAAACAAACAGATAGTGGGAACACAGAGGCTGCATCATTCTGCTCAGGAAGGATTCCCAGGGAAAGAGCAATTACCATTACTTCTGCTAGAGCCCGAATCCTGGGCTTCAATTGTATTTTCCCATTGCTTTTTAAATCTTTACTTTATTTGGTTGGTTCTATAATAAATACCTTTTTGCAAAGTTAGCTGGTATTTTTAAAATCCAAAAGGAAAGAAAATGAAAAACTTTTAATGAATTACAGGGGGAAAATACACGAAACTATTTAAAATAGCTCCCACCAACAAATATAATTCTCCAGAAATAATCCCCATCCTTGGAGACTTGAATAATATTTTAAACACACTGGCTTTCCCACGTAAACACATCCATATTTGGCCGTGTTTCTGAGCTCTGCTGTACTTGCACGGCAAGTGTGCACGAGCAGGCCCACGGCTCGGACGCTGGAGCTGGGGGGCCCGCCCACCCCCCCGCACCCGTCAGACGCTGCGGACCCACGACCTCCAGCCGCTGACTTGACAAGGAGTGACCACCTCGATTCTCAAGTCAACCCAGGAATTCTCCTCCCGGATTTCTTTCTTGCTCTGTCTGCCAGGAGCAACACTGACATAGTTCTGCCTGATTCCTCCTCATGCACCCCTTCCGACATCTCTCCTCTCTCCCCTCAAAGGCTACAGGGCTCCTGGCATAAATACTGCACCCAGTTAATCCCTTTCTGCGCTTTTTCTCTCTGCATGCAGGCCTGAAAGGCTCTTTATTTAAATCACCTATGGTTGCCTTCTGCGATCCAGGCTTCTGGCTCTTTCTGCAGAAGCATAAACTTTGCAGATAGGACAAGAGAAACGAAGCAATGGAAGAGGCAGAGAGGCAGCTCTGTATCCAGGGCTCCAGGGTCAAACCCCATCCACCTGGTTCCCTCCCCATCCAGGGGGACCAGGATGTCGTTGTACTTACTGGCACCCCCAGTGATCACAGTCTCTGCCTTTCTGGCCTTTGTTTATATGCTCCTGTATCTGCCTCTCCTGGAGCTAAACTAGCACCTCTCCCCAAAGACCCCACTCCTCTAAGCAGTGAGCAGTAGGCTCCCTGTCCAGTTCCCACATTGTGCCAGCTTGACGCTCCCATTCCCATGGGGGGAAACATGGCTAGATGGCCCAGACCGACTCTCGTAGATCTCACACTTGAAAAGTAAGGGAATGTTTAGGCAAAGGCGGTCATCTATGAATTACATCAAGGGAACAGATACAGCAACAGTTATTACTAAATCCCGCCCCTACTATGTGCAAGGAAATAAGACCTTGAACGTTCTCCGAACAGAGACTATTTCGGGTTCAAATGGTCTGAAAAATAAAGACAACGAGAAAGCCTGGATTATCTTGACCAAGAGTTACTTATTCCAGGTTTAAGACCAAACACCTAGCCCTGTTTGTGGACAAGAGTCAATCTGCATATGAAACGGGTAATTCAAGACCATTGTTCCTACTAGATTATCACCCCCAGGAGGAAAGGCAGGCGTGGAGTGCGTCTTAGCGAGCCAGGTTCGGTTCCTGGCAGGTGAGATGTCAGCACCTAGCGTGTGTTCTAGCAAGGGCTCTGTGCCTGCAAGCCACTGGGTAATTTCTCCATCACTGAGGGTTCCTCTGTGCCGGGCACCGTGCTGGCGGTAAGACCATTAAGATGCTGACTTTTCAAGAAATCCCCACTGAGCAGGGGGAGAGAAGACAGTCGAGTGGCACAGGTGCCAAGATAGGCCTGAGCCCGGAGGAACTCTGGCATGTGACAAGGACACGGGTAGTTCCGGGCTGGCAAAGGGAGGAAAGGTCAAGGATGGCCCCACGGAAGTGACAACAAAGCCATGAGTGTTGGTCAGGTAGGCTGGGGTAGATCAGAGAGGAAGAGACAGGGAAAGGAAGACGCATCAAGAGTGGTTCACGTGGCCAACAGAGGTGACTGAGGGCCAAATCCCGGAGCTCGAGTCATTCCAAACAGAATGAGAAAGCACAGACGCTGTGAGCAGGGGCCTGTGTGTCTTACCCATGTATGGGGCAGGCCAGGCCGACTGGCCCCCTCCTCCATAGGGGTCCTGGGGCTTGGCGCTCAGAGCACTCGTGTGAAGAGCGGAATCAGAATTGGTCCTAAGGGGAGGAGGAGAGAGTCTTACTGAAAATCCATTTTTCCTTAGTAAGAATGCAATATTGTTTGCTGCAAATTACCAAAGGAGAGAAGTCAAGCACCCTTAAGATGAGGAGTCTGAACCTACCTGAAGTCCCTCACATCGGTAACAGCCTCTGAGGATCGCCCACACCCAAAAAGATTTTAATCTGTACCTGTATGGTCTTACACTTTGAGGCTAAGGGCATAATGATCTATTTGAACAATGCAGAGCTTGGATTCACAGCTTCCCCTAAGGAGCTTCCCATTCTCCCCTGCAACCCAGAAGACAGCTGGGACCAGCACGTTCTCTGCACCAGATTCTCTCCATCTAAGAGTAAATCCTCCTGTATGAAGGGTCCCTGACAGCAGTCGTTCAGGGAGCATGCAAGGTCGAGACAACTTTGAAAATAATACTGAACGTTCTTTGCCCTTCCGCTCTCATTCTTCTACGAGCACGGCAGAGTTGCCAGCAGTGAGGCTGTGAGGTCACCGTGGACGGAACGCATAAACAGAGAAGCCAGCTATCTTCAAGAGATTTGTGAAAGGTACAACAATGCCACTCTTCTCAGTAAAGTCTTCTCTGTTTCAGAAAACATAACTGCGCTTCCTAAAAGAAGGTACCTTTTATGCTGACATGTGATGAGTTTATTACTGCTATTTTTTAATTTTTAAATTAACAAGTATCCTTTATAAATCTCTCAATTTCATTTCCAGTATCAATAGATAAATATCAGCCACAGCCATGTACGCAAACACTCTTGGAGGGCCTCGGTGGTTTTTTAAGACTGTAAAGGAGTCCTCAGACAAAAAGTCTGGGAACCCCTGATATACAGCAAATTTCGGAAATTGCCCCAGATGGCTCCAATTTCTGCATAGCCTTAGCTGTAAGGGATGATTATTTACTTTTTCTCATCCAAGGGTCAAACTATCTGCCATAAAAAGAACTTGTGAGAGACTTCAAATTAGCCTAACATGCTTCTCTGTGGTCTGTCCCGGTGACAGCCCCATGGGCACCGCGGCAGTTGCTGGGTTCCGACAAGGGTCGGGGAGCGGGGGAGGGTTCGAAGCCGTGTGAGGCAGCAGGAAGAGCACGGACCCTGGGACGAGAGACCCCCGGGTTTGGATTCCAGCTCCTTTAGAGATGCAAAGAGGTGCAAGAGAGTATCAATCAAATGCAGACAGACAACTGGGAAAATCTGTATATAGCCTGGGTATTGGCTAATATTAAGGAATCGCTGTTAATTTTGTTAAGTGTAATAATGGCATTGTGGTTGTGTTTTCTTTAAAAGAAGTTCTCAGCAACCTTTCCTGTCAGAGACGTTTACAGGTGCAATAGTCTACCTAGCGGGGCTGCGGCGGGGGTTTACGGCAGTACTCAGATGACGACCAAAGCCGAAGCGTGGGCACGGGGCCTTCTAGCAATGCTTTTCTCTTTGGTGTATGTTTTATATTTTGCACTATAAACAGTTTAAAAAAAAAATCCCAGTTCCATCACATGTTAGCTACGTTGCCTTGGACAGGTCATTTAATCTCTTAAAACAGAAAATAATATTCATTCTTGAAGGCTGCTGTCAGGATTGAAAACACTGACCTCCACAGAACACTCACCCCTGGAGTCCAGCCCAGGTCGATCACGACACGAGCTAACGTTGACTGAGTGCTAATGCTTCCCCCGTTTCTTATAAATCTTAGCTGATCCTCACAGCCACCCCTTGGGTGAGAGAGGTATTGTTATCTACCTTTTCCAGATGAGTAAACCGGGGCACAGAGAAGTTATGTAACTTAGTCAAAGTCACACAGTAAGAGCCAGCCCTGTAGTCCCCCCGGGACCCCGTCTAGGTATTCGGTACTATCCGTGCAGACAGTCAATAAACGGCGGGAGATCTAGGCTAAAAAAATACTTCCTATAAACACATGTGACATGAATATCCTCTGGCAACTGGATAATATATAAAGAACATCAGGACAATCAAATTGGTCGTCTTTAAATTTCTTTCTACTAGGAATCAACCCGGGTACCTGTTAAGAGCAGATGTCAGCCTGAATCCAGGGTGCTTTTCTTCTTTCCAAGGATGCTGCTGCCTTTAAAAACCAGAATGACAGAAAAAGTAAAGACATTCAATTCACAGGAGCAAAGGGGAGCCTCGGGCCTGAGTTTGAGAACTGGCTCTTCTACTCACCTGGGCAAAGTCACTTCAAACACTCCATGCCTCGTTCATTTTGCTCAACATCGTTAAAATGAGGTCAGACTGAGTGATCTCTCCGATTCCTATGATTCCTGATTTCCATGATTAAAAACCACCACAAGTCCATGAGAACAGGATTAGCTAGCGAGGCATATATGGAGCTTTGGTTTTGTTTTGTCTTAAAAAGGGCAGACAAGCATCTTTGAAATAGTTCAAAATCTATGACCGACTCCTGTCTAGGGGATACGAGGTCTCAGTCCAGATGTGTAAAAAGTCACTGCTCAGCACACACCCCGAGAGTGTGTGCAGGGGGAGCCCTGACAATCCTGGAGGTGAAAACTGCCTTCCCAGAGACAGCCGTGAGGAGGAACACAACTGGCACAGGTGTCCAGTTCACGAAAATACTTCTCTCACTACTCCCGGTGCTCTGGGCAGCTGCAGACACTTTTTCCTTGGATACAAATTTTCAAAATATCGGTCTGGAGATGTCTTTTTATGACCGAACATACCATATCGTATCTACCCCACGACCTTGGATCCCGGGATTCTTGGGGGCAGCCGAAACCCGCCCGGAGGCAGGAGCCCGCTGTTACTCATCCTCATACGGACTTCCCAGGTCCTGACTACATTATTCACCGTAAGTGCTCGGTCAGGGTTTGCCCAGAGGGTGGATGGAGAGTCAACCTCAACGCAGAGAGCACTTTGAATGTCTCTTTTTTGATACGTACACTTCAATGTCTCCTAAATCTGACTTGGTGATCTGAGAATGATACCACACAAGCAATGGATACACCAGTCTTTGCAGTTAGTTTTAGGTTCTGTCACCCTCTATACTCAAAAATACTCAATTTTGGGGGGCATATATCCTCTGTATACAAAAATACTCAGAGACCCTAAATCAAATCCACTGTGCAAATTACATTTTGAGAAGCTTATTAAATCTTTCACTCCTTCCAGCAGCTAAGACACCCTGAGCGAAGACAGTTATTTTTCCATGTCTCAAATGAAAGAATACCGGGGCGCCTGGGTGGCTCAGTTGGTTAAGCGACTGCCTTCGGCTCAAGTCACGATCCTGGAGTCCTGGGATCGAGTCCCGCATCGGGCTCCCTGCTCAGCGGGGAGTCTGCTTCTCCCTCTGACCCTCTTCCCTCTCGTGCTCTCTCTCTCTCATTCTCTCTCTCTCAAATAAATAAATAAAATCTTTAAAAAATATATTTTAAAAGAATAAAAAAAATAAAAGAATACCAAATCAGGGTATCCTACTGGTAGATGTAGTCCAAGTGTGTTTCCATTTGATTTTAAATATGAAGATCTAGATTTTTAAAGTGATTTTTCATCTTAGACTTCCATATCAGCCTATGAGTCTACCTGAAAGACCTAAGTTTTCTAAGAGAAAACAAGAGTCTATGATTCATATCAGAAATTTCCAAAACCATATTCAAGGTAGATAAGAGAAAGTGAAATCGACAAACAACACGTGCCCACCATAGCTTTTAAAACAGCTTGCTTACCTTGGCCAACTCTCATCCAGGGGCTGTGAGGAGTAATTGGCTCCGAACGTACTACCATCAAAGTGAAATTTTTTAATAAAGGAAAAATAAAATTAATGGAAAGGTGAAGCAGAATGAAGAAGCCAGAACTGTGGAGAGTTAAACACCCGAGTTTCTGGTTCTTATCTCTCTATACACCAACAGCTCTTCCTCCATGCTCTCTCTGATAAACTTCCTCTGGAAAACCTATTCCTCCCACCAGCGCCCTCTTTGTGATTTATGTGGGGGTCTTTTTTTTTTTTTTTTTTGCCTGCATAGCATCTTTTTGTTTTCAAGAACTGCTCCCGCCCTTCACCCCAAACCTGGTGACGACATCCTTCTGCGTGGGCCCCTCTGTCCCGGGGGGATGTACCAGGCTCAGTATTTCCAGTCAAGGTACCTTATACCCCTGGGAACAGTGATCGGCTCAGGGATGGGCTCATGACACAAACAAGCCCAAGAGAGCCTCAGAGGAGGAAAGGGAGTGCCCTCAGCTGGGGTGCTGAGCCTGAGAGTCCTGTAAAGCTCTGCAAGAGAGAGCCTGTCCTTGCGGGAAGTCAACACAGACGTGGCACCTCACAGATGCTATCGTATGAACCCCTGGATCTAGCCCTTGGGCTTCCAGTGACATAAGCCAGTGAGTTTCCTTTCCTCAAGCAGAGGATTCCCATTACTTATAACCATAAGAGAGTCGCGTGAGATCTGTCGTGTGCTCAGGGCTGTAGTCGCAGGGTCGGGAGACTGAGCCCCGCGTCAGGCGCCGCAATGTGGAGTCCGCTTGGGTTTCCCTCTCCCGCTGCCCCCCCCATTCTTTCTCTCTCTCTAAAAATAAATATATAAATCTTTTAAAAAATTTTTTAATCATAATATTCTCCTGCTAAAAAAATCTTTAATGATTCTATATAGAAGCCGCCACCTGCTTGGGCTCAGGAGGGAAGGGAGGGGCCTATTACGCAGGCCTGGGCTGGGTGCCCCAGGATCTGGCACTCGTACTAGGTGGCACTCACGGGTTCCCAGTGATTTGGTGTGAACGGCCTCCTCTGTGAGGAGAAGCGTTATGATCCCAAGTTTCACTTTCTGTGTATTCATTTTGTCCCATCCAGTTAGCTTATTCCTTCATCTGAATCGAAGTCAATACAATAGAAGAGAGGATTTTCAAAAGAGAACCATTTCTTCAACATTAACTGTTAAGCTTCACGTAGACGAAGGGCAGACGAGAATATGCTACAGGAGGAGACAGAAGAGGCGAAGGTGGTCATGAAATAAGCAGCTCCCCCTCCCCCTGAGACGAAACGCTCCAGCATCTTCGCCAACAGAGCCAATAGTGAGGAGGCGCTGACTCCCACCACCTGTGGTTATCCACCTTTCCCTTCCCTGCAGTTTGATGAATCTCCATCCAGCTAACACAACGCAGCGTGCAGGGCTAGAACAGGAACATCATGATCAAACACCGATTACTTCAATGTTAAGGTTCCAATTAGCATTTCAAGCTCTCCGATGTATATTAACAGCATGAAGTGTAGTGATTTCCTGAAATTTATTTTTTACGGGCATCTGGCTATGTTGCCCAGGCTGCAGCTCCTCGGCTATTGACAGGAGTCATCCCCCTGCTGACCTGCTCTGTTCCGCCCTGGGCAGGTTCACCCCTCCTTAGGTAACCGGGTGGTCCCCCACTCCTGCAGGTCACCGTGTTGGTGCGGAACTTAGCCTGGACACCTGACCGGCATGGCACACTACACCCCAAACTCCCGAGCTCAAGCCGTGCCCCCTCAGCCTCCCGAGGGGCCGGGGCCCGGACGCACCACCATGCTCGGCTGGGATTTTTAATACGACCCGGCTGAGGCATCAAATGTGAAGAGACGTGACCTCTGAGCATTCTTAATTCTCACTGTCACGTCTCATTTATTGAATATTAAAAAAGCCCGAGAACTGTTGGCATCAAGAGAACCACCAATGTTATCATCGGCTGACGGTTAAAGTCAACCAAAGGGTGGCTCCGTCAGTGAAGCGTCTACCTTCAGCTCAGGTCACGATCCCGGGGTCCTGGGACTGAGTCCCACATCGGGCTCCCTGCTCAGCGAGGAGCCTGCTTCTCCCTCTCCATCTCCCTGCTGTGCCTCCTGCTTGTGCTCTCCTGCTCTATCAAATAAATAAAATATTAAAAAAAAAAAAAGTCAACCAAAGGGAAACCTAGAAAAGGTTCATTTCTTCTGCTGATTTCAGAAAGGTTCATTCAGGTGGCTCTGACTACTCCACCACACTGACAGGACCTACAGAACAACCTTAGGATGGGGAAAATAGCCTTATTTGTAAACCTGAATTTACCATTAATTCAACAAACATTTTTGGAATGCCTACCAGCTGCTAGCAACCAAAGAGAAACGCAGAGTTTCCAGCAAGCCAGACCAGCTCCTAGGCCACCCCGCCCCCACCCCGTGGTCAGTTAGCCTACGTTAAAGACGTTTCCACCTGCACCTCTGTATCTGCCCCACCCAATGCACTCCTTCCCAGCTCCTTTGCGACCTCCTCCTCTGCCTCCAATCCTGCCACTCCTGGAGGTCTGCGGCCTCGAAGCCTCTCCCCCAAGGAGCTGCTGGGGCAAAGGGCCGCAGAATCGCTGGGTGCCCTGCAGCGGGGGCAGCCCCGGAGGCCGGAGACACTTGGGGCGGCGTGCTGAGGACACAGAGCCGGGACCACCCAAGCTCGCCTGGGTAGCCCCACCCCGGCCTCTGGCTCGAGGCAGCCCTGGGAGCGCAGCAAGTCACAAACCCAGACCCCCGGCTGCCAACAGCGCGCGGACCCCAAGTCTGAGTCTCCTGCTGCCCCTTCAGCTTCACAACAAAAGTACTTCAGCCTCCACCTGAAAGCCTCCCCCTCCTCCCCCCTGGCGCCTCTGCCCCTTTTCTAGCCCACCCGCCCGTATTTCAGTATTTCCCTGACCGAGGTGCTCCCCAAGTGCCTACAGCTCTGGAGAGGAAACTCCTCCTCGTGTTCCTGCCTCAACCCAGCGACAAAGGGGCGCCCCTAACTCCTTCTCCACATGGGCAGCCGCAGAGGGAAGCTTCTTACTCACTCTTCCCCAAAGGAAGGGGAGTAGCTCTTCTGCTGATAAGACAGGACATCTGTTGGCCCACGTACCCATGGGTGGGGTCACTGAGCCACAGAAGCGCCAGACAGTTCCACCCTGTCTCTTTTCTGTGCTCCCTGCCTCGTGGCTGGAGAGCACAGCCGGGCTTCTTCTTTCGGCTTCCTGTTCCCCTGTGGTAAGTGCACCTGGGGCAGGGCTCGGGACCGGCCTGCTGGAGGCAGTCTGGACGCCGGCCACGTTCTCTCCTAGCCTCGAGGACTCCGGGTTCTCCCGGGCCGGCCTTCGCGGGGCAGGCCTGTGACCTCCCGTGTAGCTGGCGGGGCGAGGGAACCCCGAGTCGGCTTGATAGAACCCGCCCACCAAGACGAGTTCCAGGGTCAGATTTAAAGACCTAAAGCTGGTCACAGTTTGGTTCCTTCCTCATTTCTCAACCATGTCTTTGCCATCACGCTACTTCCTCTTGTCCTTGATTATCCAACTACGTCCCGCTAGAACACATCTTAAAATCAAATGTTAAGGGAAGTGTAGGAGCAGGGCCCTCTGGAGTCCTCCCGTGTACGAGAACGTCCTCCCGCTTCCCTCAGCACACGAGTGACAGCCAGACGGCATGGGCAATTCTGAAGTCTGACTCGGTTCCCCTGAAAACTCTACACCCCAGCCATTTCCTCGTCCTTCACGATGGAAATCACTGATGGGTATTAGGTAAAAATCGGGTGTTGTGATCAAATAAATTCTGTTAGTCCTGGGTGAAGAGACCGTTTCTTAACTGCAGGGCTTCTCGGAGCCCCAGCTTCGACTGCGAAGCTCGGGGGGGGGGGGGCAGAGAGTAGTGTTTCCTCAAACCTAACAGGCCATGCGTGTCAAAGAAAGTGTTCTATAAACCAGTGCCCTAAAATTTTCATCTCATTGTATGAAAAGAATCAAAGCAAAGCCTGTTCCAAAGACGAAAGCCATTCCTAACTTTGGCCAGTCTTAATGCCTCTCTTCACGACTGTCCGTGCTGGTTTCCCAGATGCAATACACTCTTGAACCTTGTTGGGAATATAAATCAGAAATTTCTCAGACATTCACTCTTTTTTCTCTCTTTCTAAAAATACATTTAGGGGAAGGCATTTTCTATGATTCTTCAGTGTGTCCCCTTCTTTCTCACTGCATTATCCACAGGGATAATACTTATGTTAATTGTTCAGAAATTCAGCAAGATGGGGTTTGGGACCCTTGTCTAATGCCCTCGAGGAGTGAAGAGGGCTGCTGAAGGCATGAGCGCTTGAAGAGCCTGTATTCTGAGTTCTCAAACCCAGGCCCCAGCCAGGGACCAGGCAGTGCCTCTCCTGTGCCCTGAGGGTGGCCCCAGGCCAGAGCCCAGAGGGACAGCATCCTGGTCTTTGCCTGTGGCGGCCACCCATGCCAGCAACAAAGCCCACGGGACTCGCCTTCTCGGAGGCCACGGCCGCCCACTGCAGAAGGAATCTCCCCAGCCCAAGCTCTGCTTGCTCTAGCTGCCCGCTCTGGGCGGAAGCCAGAATATTTATGAAACAATGTTCATTTTATGTATCATAGGACTGAACCCTTGTCTAGGCTGATCTGCCCCTTCTAAAATAACTTCCAAGCCAAGAAGCAGCTGTAAGAAGACAACTCTGGGGCGCCTGGGTGGCTCAGTCGTTAACCGTCTGCCTTCGGCTCAGGTCATGATCCCAGGGTCCTGGGATCGGGCCCCGCATCGGGCTCCCCGCTCCGCGGGAAGCCTGCTTCTCCCTCTCCCACTCCCCCTGCTCGTGTTCCCTCTCTCACTGTGTCTCTCTCTGTCAAATAAATAAATAAAATCTTAAAAAAAAAAAAAAGACAAGTCTGAATACATTTTTTCAAAATCTTTGTCCTAACAAACTGTTCAAACCAGCGTTAACACTTGCAAAGGACAGAAGTGGGTAAGAGGCATTAGGGAGGTAACAGACACACACGTGAAAGGCTACCATTTAAAGCAAATTATTTCTAAATCAAATGAATGTGGCGTGAAAGGAAAGATGGAATCTTTCTCTAAGTTCTCCTGAATCTATTAGCATCTTCGACATAAAATCATCCCTCTCCTATATTTCATGGGATTCATGGTCCCTTGATTCTGCAGGAGAGATGTCCTGTCCATTTATGGACAGGCCTAAGCTTTTTTGAACGAGCAGATGTCCAGTCCCCAGGCCCCAGCTAGATGCTTAGGAAGAGCATACGGAGAGACGTTTCAGACCTGTACCGTGTGATGAACTTTAATTTATGGGCATATTTAGTTTTTGCTTCCCCTCCCCTTTGGAGGTGACCTGCTTTTTGCTGTTGCTGTCAAAAGGTGACTCGTACATGGGGTCAAGTTACACCCTATCATACAGTGTAGTCACTCCTTCCGCGACTCTGCACAAGACATTCCCCCTGCCTGGAATGTTCCCTCTCCAGCTGTCTTCCTCTCTCTGTACCACTTACCACCATGTGCGGTCATTTGCCTTAATCATTGCTGTACTGTTTGCTGGCTGTCCCCTCCCCCAGACTGTAAACCCATGAAGGCAGGGACATGTCTTATTCACCATCGAGTGTCCTGTGCTTAGAACAGTACAGGGCCACCTGGGTGGCTCAGGCGGGTTGAGAGTCTGCCTTCGGCTCAGGTCGTGATCCCAGGGTCCTGGGATCGAGCCCCGTGTCGGGCTCCCTGCTCAGCCGGCAGCCTGCTTCTCCCTCTGCCTCTCCCCCTGCTCGTGCTCCCTCTCAAATAAATAAATAAAATCTTAAAAAAAAAAAAAAAGAAGAACAGTACTTCTACAGAGAAGAAACACTGTAGCTATCTGCTGAACACATGAATGCATTACCCCCTCACCTGCTGCTTCTTCAAGCCTTAGATTTACCTCCAGGATGCCTTCTCCGGCCAACACTGGTCCAGGCTGCCCCTCCTATGAGCTCGTGCAGCCCGCGTGGCCCCGGCTACAACTCACCACCCTGTGCTGTGATCGCTAAGAGCGCCGTGAGGGCAGGGAGCCTGTCACGCTCGCCGTTACACCTACAGGGTCGGGGCGGGGCCTGACACTGGTGGATACCTAAATTATTTTTCCGTGAACGAGTACCTTCCTCGTCCTGTCACTTTCCTTCGACCCCCTCCTCTTCTAAGTCACTCCTTCAGTTAGAAAAGCAGTGAGCACATGTCAGTCCTGAGACCACACTTGCTGCAAAGAGGATCTGAGATAGCTACAAATAGGTATTTATAAATATGCCACGTACATATGATCATGTTTAGAGAGAACACCTACAGGAGAAAAAGAGAATGGAGAATTGGAGAAAGATATATTGTTAAATCAGGCAAAGAAACACTCAAAGCCTTTCGCTTGAAAACTCCCAGCCATCTGGACAGCGGTCTGATGCACTCAGTCCATCCACACGTGTGCACTAGCGGAAGCATCAGCTGGATCCCATGGGAGTTAGGACAATTCCAGAGGGAACCCAAGGACTCAGTCGTCATCCCCACCGCCCCGGACAGTGGTCACGAAATCCACGACGACTACAAGTCAGCGTCTCTCACGGACCAAAGTGCTGTGTTCCTGGGGTCACTTTCCCTGCCTCCAAATGGAAGACAGCAAGAAACGGGGGTGGGGGAGGCAAGAGAGGTCCTGGCTCCCTTGGTGGGTCCTACAACTCCCCCCACAGGGCCTCTGTTGACGGGGCGGGGGGGCCGGGGCCGGCCCACCGAGTGATGCCCTGAGGGGAGAGGCCCAGGCCGGGGCTCAGCTTGCTCCGGGGCTCAATCTGTGCCCTTCCAACCTCAGCAGTGGAATCTCAGACAAGTGACTTTGACGCTCAGTTTCCTCCTTGGAAAACGGAGGTTAAAAAAAAAAAAAAAATGAACTGCTCAGTGAGTTTTGAGGACTACGTGACGCATCAATTGCCCAGCACAGTGCCTGGCATGGGTAGGTGCTCAGCAAAC